TTTCTTTTTTTTCTTTTTTTTTCTTTTCCTTTTTCTTTCTCTTCTCTCTCTCTTTTCTTGTCTCTCTCTCTCTCTCTCTCTCTCTCTCTCTCTCTCTTCTCTCTCTCTCTCTCCTCTCCTCTCTCTCTCCTCGCCTTTTTTCCCCTTTTCCTTCTCCTTCTCCTCTTTTCCTCTTCCCTCTCTCTCTCCTCTCTCCTATGCTCCTCTCCTCCTCTCCCTCTTCCTTTCTCTCTCCTCTGCTCTCCTCTCCTCTCTTCTCCTCTCTCCACTCCCTCTCTTTTCTTCCTCTCACTCCCTTCTCCTATATCCTCTCTCCTCTCTCTCTCTCTCTCCTTCTCTCCCTTTCTCCCTCACTCCTCTCCTCCTCTATCCCACCTCCTATCCGTCTCCTCTCTCGTCTTCCTATTTTTCAATTCTTAATCAATACCTTCAATACCCTCTTACAGCGCTTTCAGAATTCGAATACCGTATTTCAGAATTCTTCAGCTAAGTGTCCTGTCGATTTTCTTACCAATGTCAAGGCAGCACAACGCTCTAAGGCATTAGTAAAGTAAACATAAAAATCACGAAAGAATAAAAAATATATATCAAGGTTGAAAAACATGTCCCGAAAATAACATATTGAATAGATGTTTATTTCACTTGATTACGTAAATATCCCCCTCAAAAAAATAAATAAATATATATTATATATATATATATAGATAGATAGATAGATAGATAGATAGATAGATAGATAGATAGATAGATAGATAGATAGATATAGATATAGATATAGATATATATATAGATATAGATACGAATATACGATATATATAGATATGTAACGAACACTATAACTAAATTCTATTTTCCACACTAATTGCAACAAACAAAAACGAAAGCCTATATTTCCTTGCGAAAGTTACAAATGTAATAAAAAAGATAATTGTTATACATTGTACTCTTTCACATCGTTTGTTATGTTTTGTTCCTGCACTTTGTTTTCTAGTTAAATCCATTAAAAATTTGCATTGGAGGCGGCTGGCTGATGATTGCATGCAGTATGTGTGTTGGAGGGGGGGAGGGGGCGTGTGGGGGGGGGGGGGGTGTATGTGTGGGGGGGAGGGGCGTGTAAGTGTGCGCTGGGGGGGGGGGGGTGCGTGTGTATAGGGTGTGTGTGTGTGTGTGTGTGTGTGTGTGTGTGTGTGTGTGTGTGTGTGTGTGTGTGTGTGTGTGTGTGTGTGTGTGTGTGTGTCGTGTGCGTGTGCGTGTGCGTGTGCGTTGTTGCGGTGTGCGTGTGCGTGTGCGTGTGTGCGTGTGCGTGTGGTGCGTGTGCGTGTGCGTGTGCGTGTGCGTGCGTGTGCTTGCGCGTGTGCGTGTCCGTATGCGTGTGTTTGCGTGTGCGTGTGCGTGTGCGTTTGCGTGTGCTTGCGCGTGTGCTTGCGCGTGTGCGTGTCCGTATGCGTGTGTTTGTGTGTCGTGTCGTAAAGACTGACCCGATGTATTATTTCTCAAAAATACCATACCATTTACGCAACTACACTTGACCAATATCTAATTTCTTATCATACCTTTATCATTCCATTTAACTTACGGATGCTTATCAACGACCATCTCTGAAATTCATCCCTTCTACAGCCTCCTCAGACCGATTCTGTAAATTGCTGTTTTCTTTACTTGTTATCTTTATTTATCTTTTTTTTAATTCTTTTATTCATTTTTTTTTCATATTACGAAATTTTCTGGTTCGGGCATCATGTGTCCGCCATCTTGTTCTTTTCTTCATGTTCTTTCTTTCGTTCACATTCTTGGCGTTATACATTTCGTCAATCTCTCTATCTATTTCTCTATCTATCTATCTGTCTGTCTTCCTGTACATCCATCTATCTATTTGCAAATATATACATATATATATATATATATATATATATATATATATATATATATATATATATATTATTTATACACACATATATTTTTTTCTATCTATGGATATTCATATATTAATCATTCTATTTGCTTTAGCTATTCCTATTTATATCTACATCCATTTGTTTAAACATTCATCTATCTATCTGTTTATCTATCTACCTATCTATCGTTCTTTTTTTTCTTCTTTTCTTTTCTTTTTCATTTATTTATCTATTTTTATCTTTATATATTTTTAATAAGGAGTCTATTATCCAGCGTTCTTTTTTTCTAATAAAATCTGTCACATTCACCACTCTACTCTCAAATCTGCTCTCCCCTCGGCCTTCTCCTCCAGATTTTTCACCTTTTTAAATCGGCATTCTGGGCGGGGATTTTGCCTCTGACAGGAAACGAGACGTGAGGATCCTCTCCCCGATTTAAGGAGGGACAGAAATCCATTTATTATATATATATATATATATAAAAAAAAAAAAAAAAAACGCGAGGGCTGTGCGAGGCTGTGGCTCATCGTGGATTTTTTTTATGATAATGATAATAAGATCCGTTTATAGTTATGTAATTTATGAATTTCAAAAATAATGAGTGGAATAATTGTTTTATATGATAATAAGAAGGAGAAGAACCACTTATAATTACGTAATCTATGAATTTAAAAAAAATACAGAAAGGAATATATCTTTTAATTATCATAATAATAAGATCCGCTTATAATTACGTAATTTATGAATTCCAAAAATAAAGAATGGAATATTTTTTTAAATGATAATAAGAACAACTTATAATCTCGTAATTTATGAATTTCCAAAATAAAGAACATATATAATAATAAGAATAAGAAGAAGAAGAAGAACCACTTATAATTAAGCAATCTATGCATTTCAAAAATTCAAAAGCAAAAAAAAAATCCGCTCATTAAAAAATTAAGTATCATGTGTCGTGATATGTCAAAAAAACTAAACAAAAAATAAACAAACAAACAAATATATATGATATATGTGATATATGCCAAAAACTAAAAAAACACCGAAGATAAAATAATATATTCATTCTCACTCACACCTTTCCACATTCTCACTCACACTTTCCAAAATTAAGATATAAATAATATATTCTTCTCACTCACAAAATTAAGATAAATAATATAATTCATTCTCACTCACCCTTTCCAAAATTAAGATAAAATAATATTCTTCTCACTCACACTTTTTACAATAAAATAATAATATTCATTCTCACTCACACCTTTCCAAATTAAGAATAAATAATATATTCATTCTCACTCACAAATTAAGAAAAATAATTAATTCATTCTCACTCACACCTTTCCAAAATTAAGATAAAATAATATATTCATTCTCACTCACACCTTTCCAAAATTAAGATAAAATAATATATTCATTCTCACTCACACCTTTCCAAAATTAAAGATAAAATAATATATTCATTCTCACTCACACCTTTCCAAAATTAAGATAAAATAATATATCATTCTCACTCACACTTTCATTAAAATATATATTCATTCTCACTCACCTTTCCAAAATTTAAGATAAAATAATATATTCATTCTCACTCACACCTTTCCAAAATTAAGATAAAATAATATATTCATTCTCACTCACACCTTTCCAAAATTAAGATAAAATAATATATTCATTCTCACTCACACCTTTCCAAATTAAGATAAAATAATATATTCATTCTCACTCACACCTTTCCAAAATTAAGATAAAATAATATATTCATTCTCACTCACACCTTTCCAAAATTAAGATAAAATAACATATTCATTCTCACTCACACCTTTCCAAAATTAAGATAAAATAATATATTCATTCTCACTCACACCTTTCCAAATTAAGATAAAATAAATATATTCATTCTCACTCACCCTTTCCAAAAATTAAGATAAAAATATATTCATTCTCACTCACACCTTCAAAATTAGAAAAATAATATTTCATTCTCACTCACACTTTCCAAAATTTAAGATAAAATAATATATTCATTCTCACTCACACCTTTTCCAAATTAAGATAAAAAATAATATTCATTCTCACTCACACCTTTCCAAAATAAGAAAAATATTCATTCTCACTCACACCTTTCTAAGAAAAAAAATATTCATTCTCACTCACACCCAAAATTAAGGCCTTTCCAAAATTAAGATAAAATATATATCATTCTCACTCACATTCCCAACATTCTCACTCACACCTTTCCAAAATTAAGATAAAATAATATATTCATTCTCACTCACACCTTTTTTATAAAAAAGACAAAAATATTCATTCTCACTCACACCTTTTTTACAAATAATACAAAATAATATATTCATTCTCATTCACACCTTTTTTACAAATAAGACAAAATAACATTCACTCTCACTCACACCTTTTCTACAAATAAGACAAAAATATCCATTCTCACCCACACCTTTTCTACAAATAAAACATAAAAAATCACCCTCACTCACACCTTTTCTACAAATAAGACAAAAAAAATCACCCTCACTCACACCTTTTCCTACAAATAAGACAAAAATATCCATTCTCACCCACACCTTTTCCTACAAATAAAACAAAATAACATTCACTCTCACTCACACCTTCTTTTCAAATAAGACAAAAATATTCACTCTCACTCACACCTTTTCCTACAAATAAGACAAAATAACATTCACTCTCACTCACACCTTTTCCTACAAATAAAACAAAAATATTCACTCTCACTCACACCTTTTCCTACAAATAAAACAAAATAACATTCACTCTCACTCACATCTTTTTTACAAATAAGACAAAATAACATTCACTCTCACTCACACCTTTCCTACAAATAAGACAATATAACATTCACTCTCACCCACACCTTTTCTACAAATAAGACAAAAATATCCATTCTCACCCACACCTTTTCCTACAAATAAGACAAAAAAAAACTCACTCTCACTCACACCTTTTTACAAATAGACAAAAAACATTCAATAAAACAAATAATAATAAAATAAAAATAATAACAAATAAGACAAAATAATATTCACTCTCACTCACACCTTTTCCAACAAATAAGACAAAACAACCGAC